AATAAAATACCTAGGAATATAACTAACAAGGGATGTGAAGGACCTCTTCAAGGAGAACTCTGAACCACTGCTCAAGGAAATCAGAGTATACACAAACAGATAGAAAAACATTTCATACTCATGGTTAGGAAGAATCAATATCATGAAAATAGTGATACTGCTCAAAGTAATTTATAGATTCAATGGTATCCCTATCAAGCTACCAGTGACTTTCTTCACAGAATTGGAAGAAACCACCTTAAACCTCATATGGATCCAAAAAATATCCTGCATAGCCATAACAATCCTAAGCAAAAAATAAAAATAAAACAAAGCTGGAGGTATCATGCTACCAGACTTCAAACTATATTACAAGGCTACTGTATTCAAAACAGCATGGTACTGGTACCAAGACTGAGATATAGACCAACGAAACAGAACAGAGACCTCAGAAAGAACTCCACACAACTACAACCATCTGATCTTTGACAAACCAGACAAAACCAGGCAATGAGGAAAGGATTACCTATTTAATAAACGGTGTTGGGAAAACTGGCTAGCCATATGCAGAAAGCTGAAACTGAATCCCTTCCTTATACCTTATATAAAAATTAACTCTAGAGGGATTAAAGATTTTAACATAAGGCCTAACACCATAAAAACCCTAGAAGAAAACCTAGGCAGTACCATTCAGGACATAGGCATGGCAAGGACTTAATGACTAAAACACCAAAAGCAATGGCAACAAAAGCCAAAATAGACAAATGGGATCTAATTAAACTTAAGAGCTTCTGCACAGCAAAATAAACTATCAATAGAGTGAACCAGCAATCAACATAATGGGAAAAAATTTTTGCAATCTGCCCATCTGACAAATATGGGTAGAATATCCATTATCTATAAGGAACTTAAACAAATATCCACAATCTATCAGGAACTTAAACAAATTTACAAGGGAAAAACAACTCCATCAAAAAGTGGGCAAAGCATATGAACAGACACTTTTCAAAAGAAGACATTTATGCAGCCAACAAACCTAGGAAAAACAGCTCATCATCACTAGTTATTAGAGAAATGCAAATCAAAACCACATTGAGATACCACCTCACACCAGTTAGAATGGCAATCATTAAAACATCAAGAGACAACAGATGCTGCAGAGGATGTAGAGAAATAGGAAAGCTTTTATACTGTTGTTGGGAGTATAAATTAATTCAACCATTGTGTAAGACAGTGTGGTGATTCTTTAAGGATCTAGAAATAGAAATACCATTTGACCCAGCAATCCCATTACTGGGTATATAATCAAAGGATTATAAATCATTCTATTATAAAGACACATGCACATGTATGTTTATTGCGGCACTGTTCACAACAGAAAGACTTGAAACCAACCCAAATGCCCATCAATGTTAGACTGGATAAACAAAATGTGGCACATATACACCATGGAATACTATGCAGCCATAAAAAATGATGAGCTCATGTCCTCTGCAGGGACATGAATGAAACTGGAAGGCATCATTCTCAGCAAAGTGACACAAGAACAGAAAACCAAACACTGCATGTTCTCACACAGTGAGAACACAGGGACACAGGGAGGGGAACATCACACACAGGGCCTGGAGGATGGGGGGCTAGGGGAGGAATAGCAAGAGTTGGGGGGTTAGGGGAGGGATAGCATTACGAGAAATACCTAATGTAGATGAGAGGGTGATGGATGCAGCAATCCACCACCATGACATGTGTATACCTATATAACAAACCTGCACCATCTGCACATGTACCCCAGAACTTAACGTATAATAAATAAATTTTTAAAGAAGAAATATATAACCCCCTTCTTTGCCCAGGTTCCTAGAAGTTATAGAGATTAGGTAATAGAGAATAAAATAAAAAGAAATATCAGGGGTTCCACTGAAGGTCACGGTGGTTTCCTCTAACCATTTTTTCCTTAGTCACCCTGTGCTCTGTAATCAAAAAAGATTCAGGGCCTTCAATGGAGGTGTAACTCAATCTTGAACATTATAGGTTGAGTCCTTTCTATGTACTAGGCTTGGTATTAGTCAACACAGCTAAAATATAATTTGGATATCATCTGTGTCCTGAAGTTGTTCATAATCTAGAGATACTAGCAGTTGTGGTCATAAAATGTGACACCACAAAAAGAAAAGTATATCAGTAATAGGCAAGCAATAAAAACAGAGACTGCATCAAGATGTCCAGATTGAAGCATCAGAAAGGAGGTTTGTATTAAAAAACAAGTAGAGCAGTTTTCTACTTATCGAAAGCTTACAATACCGCTTAACTTTTAATTAAAATTTCTGTTATCAATATATCTCTCTCCCTATAACAGGGATTCTTCCTGAAGGAAGTGCTAAGCCAAAGTTTAGGTTTAAAAAAAAAAAATCAATAAAATCCCGTGGAAGAGATATAGTACTCCAAACTGGTTTTACGTTTCTTCTGATAGAAAAAAAATATTCACAAGAGCAAAGATTTGTTCACGGTTTAACATTCATCAGCTATGTGAAAAGCAAAATACATGTTTACTATATACCATATAAGTATCAGAATTATGGTTTATAGCAGTATTCTGATATGTATGTTGTTAGATTCAAAACCAATATATATTGAAAAGCTCCTCAAGAATATGTATCATTTAAAATCACTTTAAATAGTACTTCAATTAGGTCTCTAATTTCTGTTTGGAATGTGGAAGAAAATTGAAGATGAAGACCAAAGTTACATAAGCTTGAGCCATTAGAGAAATTAAATGTAACACATGTAAATATGGAGAGTTTTTTAAAAAATAAATCAAATATCCTGATGTCAAAACAATTATGAAATTGTATTTGGTTTTCATACTAATACCAAAACATCAAGATGGCATCCACAATTGACTACATTTCTTTTGAGCAGCCACGGTTTGTACTTTGCCAACCCACATATTCAGGCAAGTACATAAACGTGTCCCCGACACAGATGTAATTTGTGGTCAAAAGACAGAGCATTGTGGAAACCCTGCAGTCATCCTCAGACAAAAGGCCTTAGGACAGATCGTTTACACTGGGTCAAACATTGAAGTTCAAAGATTTTGCTGCATGATTGAGGATTGTTATTGGGTATCTTATCAGAATAAATGTGTGGGCTGTGGCATATTTTTAAAAATATGTTAAAAAGTGGAAGGTAAAAAAATATATAAGAATAAGAAGACCTCTTTGAAGCAGCTTATGTGGTAGCTGTTTTTCCTATGACATTTATTATTTTTCTTCTGTGCCCTTGTCTTAATACCTTAAATGCAGAGTGCAGTGTCCTTCTGCATTTCTAAAACTGGTCCCTTGCTAAAGTTATCTGCTGGAACACAGGAGAGAAGTCAAAAGAACACGGCCTTTGCAGCTGGACAAATCTGAATTCTAATTCTATCTCTGCCCTCTAGTGACTATTGGACTTGAGCAATTCATTTTACCTGACTCAGTTACAAAATATATAAAATTGGGGTAATAAGACCTACCACTATAGCTTGTTGTAGTCACATCAACAGTCTGTCTTGTAGCTGGCTGTAGGGCAGTAAGTAGCATCTCTCATAGTCATAAGTTTACCATTGTTGTAGATAGTGTCCTTAGGTAGGAGCTCTGCTACTTGAGGGCTGTTTATATTGCCATTGTTATCTGCCCTCACTTTTGGACCCTCAATTTCCTGCTAATTTCTGAGAACCACTTTATCTATATCTGATAATGCTTTCCCTCTTGTGTTTCCAGGCAGCACCAAAAGTAACAAGCAGAGCAATGTGGAAGGCAAGCAAGTAGACAGACACTATTATCTTCCATCTTTTAGGGAACATGAATGTGTTTTTAATATCCAGATGTCCAGGAGAAATTCCCTAAATCTCCCTGAATATAAAAGGACTATGCCAAAGAATGAGCTGTTTATGGTCACTTTTAATATAATAGATAATAATGATTTATTTGATGGCTTCAAGTTTGGAGAATAAACTTCCAAAAATTAACAAAAACTGTTACATTTGTAAGCCACTGACTATATCTTTTAGGCCTTCACTAATTCTAGCAATATGTTTATTGAAGACAGTGTCAGTCAGGCATGGTGGCTCATGCCTATAACATCAGTGCTTTGGGAGGCTGAGGCAGGAGGATCACTTGGGCCCAGGAGTTTGAGGCTGCAATGAGCTATGACTGAACCACTACACTCTAGCCTGAGCAACAGAACAAGGCCCTGTCTCTTAAAAAAATAATTAATGTATTTAAAAAGAAGACAGTGCCTAATAGGTGTGCACATTGAGAAGAAAGAGTATGACTTTTTGGTCCTACTCCATAGCAGTTTGTCAAAAATTCTTGAGTCAGCAGGACCTGGACCCATAAACTTATGTGACTATAGGAGCAGCCCAAGATATAAAATAAGTCCATAGCATATTATAATATGTCATTCCAACTTTTAATTCACAGTATAATATCTCAGGGCAATTGTTCTTTAATAAAAATGGAATGAGATTATTTAATATTATCAGAAATACATTCCTTAAATCATTGTGTATAAATATATAAATATCTTAAAACCATTGGTATATGAAATTATGCAAGACCTACCTAGCATACCTATGTTGTCATTATCCCAGGAAACACTGGCAGTATTTTTACTGTATCTCTTTATCATATTCTTTTAAAGCTTACTTTTTTTTTTTTTAACGTATGTATATGTGTTTCTTCACCTTTTGCCGTCTGGTAGGAATTTGGGACTGCTGGATCATAGGGACAACACACACATTTGTGATATTATTTTAAATGATTAATCATATTGTATAAACAGTTCACATGGTCTCACACACAAAATCTTTGATCAAAAGCTTTTGTTTTTCTTAAATCATGTAACAATAAGAGACTCTGTTTTGTAAAAGGACCCATTTGCTTTCCAGGGCTATGTCATCTTGCCTTAGCCAAAGCAGACTAAATGGGCAACAGTGATGTTTACTAATGAAATAATATGCACATTTTTGGTTTACCTTGTAGGTGCACCCACCCTATCTCCAAGTCTTCTCGGCTTACTGCTGCCTGCCCTTGGCATCCTTGTCTACTTGGAATTCTGAATGTGTTGTGACAGCTACTGTTCCCATCCCAGCTCAGAAGACACCCTTCATCCCTGGGATGACCACAATTCCTTCCGATTTCTGTGGCTCCATCCTAAGCCAAAAAAATTATACTTTAACAAACTATTCAACTGATTTACAACACACATGATGACTGAGGCATTCAGGAACCCCTTCATCCAAAAGAATAAACTTTTAAATGGATATAAATGATTTTTAACTCGTTCCAATATGCCTTATAAACCACTTAACCTGATTCTGTGACAATTGCATGATTTAACCCAATGGGACAAGTTAGTGTTCAATTCAATACTATAGGCTGTAGAGTGAAAGTCAAATCACCATATACAGGTGCTTTAAATTTAATAACAAGTTGTGAAATATACTAGAGATTGAAATGTTGGTTGTATGTGGTAAATGTAAGAGTAATACAGTCTCTTGTACTTTCCTCGCTATTTTGGGTACTGCATATTATTGAATGGCCCCTATCATTCATGACATCTTGAGTTTTCTTGTAAAGACAATAGAGTGTAACAAATATTGTCATAAATCCCATTATCAAATCATGAGTTGAAAGATTTTGATTACTGAAAACCAAATTCTAGAACTTACTATCAGTATTCTTATTTTCAAAGTAATTTTCTAAATATTTGATTTTCAGAATCAGTTTTTTAATAGTAAAGTTAACATACCATATAAAGATTTTTTTTTACTTTTATATTCTACTCTGAAGTTTTATTTTATGCTTTTCTTATCAATTTCAAATCTCAAAAATCACAGCTGTTATCTAGAGTATCATAATATTGCTATATTTGTTCATATGTGGAATGACAAATTTATAAAAGTAGAGTGCTTCCTTTTTTATTGAGATGTGACTCAAGTCATTACACGGTTAGGAACAAGTGACAGTTAAGTGAATATCACAATTACTAGTACTTTGGTTTTTCTGCTTTATTTCTAAGTAAAACTTTTTTACTGCAGATGTCAGATCAAAAAGTCACCTATAGGTTGAAAAAGCTACAGTATGCTTTTTTTTTAAATTAGTTGTAAGCTCATTTCCCACTTCAATGCAATACTGAAAACTGGCTAAAAATACCAAATCAATATATTGCTAATGGTACTTTGAAGAGTATGCAAAACTGGAAGGCCGGGAGGAGACAAATAATATGTCTTTCCGATTATGTCTCCCAAGTGTTGGTGCTTTGGGTTTTTATAAGTTACGAAAAGGAAGATGCACATTTTTTCATTTTCCATGGTGTGCACGGAAATGTTTGAGTGTGGATGTGAAAGAAATCGAGTAATAAAGAATTAGCTGGCTCATGAAATAGTGCAATGTTGGATGCTTCAAGAGGTATAATCCTATTTTATTAGCACAAACTTGCTAGCTAATTAGAGTTTATCTTTTTAGAAAGGATACCGTATAGGTTCGTAAAAAATATTTACAGGAAGCAAAATAGATCTATTACTACTTTACCCCTTTTTCTTTAATTTGTATAATTTTTGTACTATATATCTATGTGTAAATGTTTAGAGCCTTCATTATGAAAATATCAATAAATATTTCATTAGTTTACATTTAACCCTTTGTTATAAAATGAAACTTTTAAAAATAAGTGAAATGGATGATTTCCCATTGGAAGTATGTCAACAGTCTTATTATCATTGCCAGATTTCATAATATTTAAGTATTTGAAAAAGAAACAAAATGTCTTCATACTTTAAGGAATCGAATACTCTGTATATCTTCTGTACAAATGTTTGTGTTTTCATTGTTACACTTTGGGGTTTTACTTTTGCAATGTGACCTATGTTGGGCATTTTTATATAATCAACAACTAAATCTTTTGCCAAATGCATGCTTGCCTTTTATTTTCTAATATATGGTAATAAGGAACAAAACTGGTTAGATTTTGCATGAAGTGGTTCTGAAAGGTAAGAGGAAAACAGACTTTGGAGGTTGTTTAGTTTTGAATTTCTGACAGAGATAAAGTAGTTTAAAATCTCTCGCACACTGATAACTCAAGCTTTTCATTTTCTCATAGAGTTGTACAGATTTAACTGGGACCATCAGTTTTAAACTGTTGTCAAGCTAATAATAATCTGCTTTAAGATGCAAGATTCTGAATTAAACTTTATATAGGTATAGATACATCTGTTGTTTCTTTGTATTTCAGGAAAGGTGATAGTAGTTTTATTTGATACTGATAAATATTGAATTGATTTTTTTAGTTATTTTTTATCATTTTTTCAATGGAGTAGTATAGGACTGTGCTTTGTCCTTTTTATGAATGAAAAAAAAAATTAGTATAAAGTAATAAATGTCTTACTGTTACCCAAGAAAGAACAACTGTCCTTTCAATTTACCTCAAGTTTAAATTTATTTTTAGAAGGTTTTCATTACAAGTTCAATAGAAGGCAATAAATATTCTGGTTAAGAAACAGTTTAATATTTGAAAAGTTCTACGAAAAGTTCACGCATAGGAATACACACAGAGTCATTATTAGATTGAAATAAGATCACCTGGTAAATAACTTCAACTCATGAAGATGTCAGTGAATATCATTCAATCTAAATTGAAATACTAGCATAAAACATTCATGCTAGATGCTAAGAAAATGAGACTCTTTAACACTGAATGAGCTGACCCTGGAATAGAGGTACCTGCATAATGGCATGAATCTATAGGAGGAATGTAAAGCCTCTGAGTCCTGAGACAGGCTAGGCCCAGAAAACTGCATGCCAGAGCTGCCTGTGTCCTGCCTTCTCATTTTCTCCTGTGTTCTAATCGTGGTTTCACAATGGGATTCTTGCCTCCCTTCTTATATTATGAAGCTTGCCTCACCCTGGGTTCTGGTTTTCCTTTTTGGACCTTGTATCTGTTTCTAGATCTTAAGTATTAGATTGCTTCTCATCTAATATTTTGTATTGGTATTTGACCTTCAACTGACCCCAGCTGACATTCTCTAGGCTTTGAAGGATCAAAGCTTCTTTCTGAGAGAGTGTGTTCCATGTTACTGATTCTCAAACCTGGTTGCCTGTCAGCATCACCTGGAGAATTAGAAAAATTAAAATAAACTCCCTGGGCCTCAGTCCAGATTCACCAAATCAGAATCTGAGGCGTGGGCTATATTTTGGAGGGAATGTTCAGTACTGTCTGCTAAGGGGTTGAGTTTGAAGTTTTCATAATCACTACAGGCTAAACCGATAGTGTTAGCTGAAACAACAGTATATTTCAATAGCATGTCTACATAACTTAATGTCTCTTAAGAAAAAAAAGAATCCATAACCTCGGCTTACCTAAATGCTGATTTGTTTATAATTATTATTGTCTTCTGTTCTACATCTTAATATCAAAATATAATACAGTTTTTGTCTGGCAAAAATATTCCCTACCTTGTTTGTATACAAACTGCAGACATAAATGTACCTCAGAAGATTTCTTCTCTAAAGGAATGTGGACTTTTTCTTTTTCCTTCATGATACTTGGAAAATGAATTAAATTTTAATGGTTAATTTCCTGAGTCTATCATCTTCTGAAGGTTGCTAATAAAAAGAAAAGATGAAAGTTACCTCCCCCAAACTTTACTATTTGTTTCTTCATCATAGACACATGATGACTTTGAATGAACTGACTTGTAAACTAGTTTATGGGAAGCCAGAATTAGGTTTCACTTGTGAAACCTATTTTAAAACCAAGTTTCACTTTCCAGTTTATTAGAAATAAGTCTGCTACTGGGGTAATATATATCAGTACCTACAATGCCATTACAATTTTGTTATAGAATTCAGTCAGGCTCATCCTAAAGCACAACCGTGAAGTTAATCCTTTTCATTCAGGATAATTTGTTTCACAGATGCTGCCTTGAAAGCAAAGCCAAAAATCTTCATCTTTTCTTGCATTTGTTTCCCAGAAGTGCAGTAAAAACTACCACAAACCAAGGGTCTTAGAACAACAGAATTTTCTCACAGTTCTGGGAACTGGAAGTCTAAAATGAAGATGTCAACCTGTCTTTTGGAAACTCCAAGGGAGAATCTGTTCCACAACCCCCTTAGCTTTTCATGGTTACAGGCAGTGCTTGGTTTCCTTGGCTTGCAGGTGCAACACTCCAATCTCTACCTCTTGTCACGTGGCATATTCCCTGTGTGTCTTGCTGTCTACATTTCTCTCTTTTATCAGGACACCAGTCATTGGATTAGGGACCATCTTAATATCCAGCATGACTTCAACTTAACTACATATGCAAAGACCCTATTTCTAAATATGATCACATTCACAGGTCTGAGTGGACATATATTTTGTATCAATATAGTTTGTCTCAGCATAGTTCTCATTTCCTTTTTTTAAAACCTGATATTTATCACTCACACTAATGTGGATATGATTCAAATGCTGCTCTAAGCATCATTTCAGAAAGCATTTATGTTGATAATGTACAACAATATGGATGAAACGCAAATAAATTATGCTAGGTGAAAAGAAGCCAGATTCAAAATGCTGTGTGATACCATTTATGGAACTTTCTGGAACAGTCAGAATGCTAGTGGTTGCAAGGATTTGAGAGCAGGTGGAGGGTCTGACCATACAGAAGCAGCATGAGAGAACTCTAGTGGTTGTGGTGACTCAAATCTATGCTGTTTAAACACAAAATTCCCCAACAAAAGAGTGAGCTTTACAGTATGTTCATTAAAGCAAAATTTTTAAAAATGAAATTTTTGAAAATATCATGACCATTGGACAATTCTGTGATAACATTTTAATGCTATCTGTTACTACTTATGAGATCTTGGACAAGAAATGTGACATTCTGAGATGCAGTTTCCTTGTCTGTAAAATAGGAATAATATTTCTCAATTGTTCAGAGTTCTTTTAGTTGCAAATGACAACTCCAATACCTTTAAGAAATAAAAAGGGGAGTCTATTGGCTCAAATAATGCAGTCTCTAAGACGGATTAGATATAAAGGCTTCAGTAATGTTCCCAGGGTTTCTCTTCATCTATGGATTCTGCATGTCTGGCAGGCTATCATTTTGTGGAAGGAATCCAGGGTACTGAAAGTTCCAAACCTACATCCTCCTGATTAGTGGTCCAAAAGTAATAGAGTCTCTCTCACTCTGATTCAGCATACATAGAAAATCTCAGTGAAGACTCAGATTATCCCCAGAAACTTGGTATATTTTATTTGCCATTTGGGGTTTCCTGTCCACCCTTCTGGGTAGTCAAAAGGTGGCACAAACCTTGTAATAGAAATTCCCACCAGCCAGGCATGGTGGCTCACACCTGTAATCCCAGCACTTTGGGAGGTCAAGGTGGATGGATCACCTGAGATCAGGAGTTTGAGACCAGCCTGGCCAACATGGCGAAACCCTGCCTCTAATAAAATGCAAAAAATCAGCCAGGCCTGGTGGCATGTGCGTTTAATCCCAGCTACTCAGGAGGCTGAGGCAGGAGACTTGCTTGAACCTCAGGGGTGGAGGTTGTAGTGAGCTGAGATCATGCCATTGCACTGCAGCCTGGGTGACAGAGTGAGGCTTTGTCAAAGAAAAAGGAAAAGGAAAGAGAGAGGGAGGGAGGGAGGGAGGGAGGGAGGAAGGAAGGAAGGAAGGAAGGAAGGAAGGAGAAAGAAAGAGAGAGAGAGAAAGAAAGAGAAAAAGAGAGAAAGAGAGAGAGAAAGAGAGAAAGGAAAGAAAGAAAGGAAAGAAAAGAAAGGAAGGGAAGGGAGGGGAGGGGAGGGGAGAGAGGAAAGAAAGAAAGAAGGGAAGGAAGGAAGGAAGGAAGGAAGGAAGGAAGGAAGGAAGAAAGAAAGGAAGGAAGGAAAGAGAAAGAAAGAGAAAGAGAGAGAGAAAGGAAGAGAGAAAGAGAGAAAGAAAAGAAAAGAAAAAAAAGAAAAGGAAGGATGAAGAAAGAAAAGGAGAGCGAGAAGGAAGGGGAGGGGAGGGGAGGGAAGGGGAAAGAAAGAAGAAAAGAAAAAAGACAGAAGTTATTTTCCACCAGGACTAGATGGAATGGAGAAAGATGGTTCCTCCAGAAGAAATATCAGGTGCCTGTCAGCAGGAAGATCCTTTTACCAGCTGTTAAATATACACTATTCTCAGTGACGAAAGGTGAGGGGAAATTATTCTCAATCAGTCCCATCTACACTGTTTTTATTATTTCTAAGAATGACATAAATATTCAACTATAGTACAAGTTTCCAAGGGACTTTGAAACTTCATTAGAAAAGCTTATCCACATTACACAATCATTCCAATTAATCACAGGGAAGGGACGTGTCACGTTAAAGTGTTGCAAACACACGTATCATTTTAAGTGAACTGTATTCATTATTAACAAAACCTCAGTGGCATGTAACAATAAAAAACTGCTCACACATTTGGGCAGCAGTAGGTGAGATATGTGGCTTTGTTTATCTGAACTGAACCCCCTCACATGTTTGGGAGTCAGTTGACTGTCAGCTGTTCAAGGCTGTCCTTAGATGGGGCCTTTCGGGTAACTTGGCTCTGCTTCACTTTTCTCCCACTCTCCAGCAGGTTAGACCTGGCATGTTCTCATGGCTGACAGAGGTGCAAGAAAGCAAGTGGAAACACGTATCTATTTTCTCAAGCTTTTGCTTGCCTCATGTCTGCTAACATCCTATTGACCAAATCGAGTAATATTATAAACCCAGAGCCAAGAGGCAGGGCAGGTCACCCACATATGCGGATGAACACTTTAAAGATACAATAAGGGTGTGGATATAGGGAGTGTTGAAGAATTGAAGCCAAATGTTTTAATCTACCACAGATACTTATCAAATTTCACTGGATATAAGATGCTATCAATTTTACTATTAGACTAGAAAAATTATTTCTAATTAAACTATAACACCATGCTTGCTTATCATGTAGAACTGTTATTCTTATTGAAATGGCTATTTATTTGGACATATGTTTTTATGATGTATTATACTTATGCCTAGACAATAAAGAAACCATACAAAAATTGTGCTAAGAAAGTCCTACAAATTTTCCATATTTAGAGTAAGATTCTTAGATATCATTTCTAAACTCTGAGTAGCTGATGTTTGTATTTTGTTACAAAATGTCATCTTTTGGTTGTATTGGTGTCTACATCATTACTTAAAGGACACTCCAATATTTCTTTCAAGGCACTGATGCCCATTCTGCCCATGTTTTCTCAATCTTACCAGGCATCAACAGAGAGTTATTGTGGCCATTGAAAAAAAAAATTGTTTATAAAGTCTTCTCTTCAAGAGGTGGAACATAATTCTGGTCCCCTTGAGGGTATGCTGAATTTAATGAATCACCTCTAGAGAATGGGATAAAGCAGAAATGACAGTGGAGGACTTTGGAAACTAGGTCATTAAAAGCCAGTGTGGTCTCCATCTTAATCATTCTCTCTCTCTCGGATCAATGGCTCCTTGAGAAGGCAGCTGCCATGTTCTGAGGGTGTTCAGTCAACCCTGTGGAGATACCCATAGACAGAGAAACTGATACCTCCTGCCAGCATCCCTGTGAGTGAGCCATCTTGCAAGCATATCAGCCTCAGTCAAGCCTCCTGAGGAATACAGTCTAGGCTGAAAGCCTAACTGCAATCTAATGAAAGACCTTGAGCTAGAACAACCTAAACATCTGCTCCCAGATTTATGACCTTCAGGAACTATGTGAGACAATAATTATTTGTTGTTTTAAGCCATTATATTTTGGAGTAATTCATTATATAGTAGCAGATAACTATACAATCGGCAAATGATTAAAACTCTTAAGTGATTTGCTGACAAAAATTTTAAGCAAATGTAGTTGTCCAATTTGACCAATAGAATTAAGAAATGTAATCCTATAAGTTCAGCTACTCTATTTTCATGTATTTCTGTATGCTATAATGATTTAAATTCAATGCTGAATAAGACACATAAAAACAATCAAACTCATGTATTTTCTCCAAAATATTTCCAACTCAATTGAAGTCATGATAATATAAACAGTTATGATAAGGCGACTTATGTGTAAGCAATAATAACTCTGCTGTAGCTCTCTCCTGGCTGAGAGCAATTGAAAGATACTATTAATTGTAAGATGCATCCTATTTTAAGAGATGTTAACATATTTTTAAAATGTGTAGACTAGAAATATGGTACTTAACAGTTCTTATGAACACTTGTAGCTTCTGTGACTGAATTTAGGGTAAAGAAGATGAAAGTTATATTTAGGTTAGGATGTTGAAGAGTAATTGATTACTGAAGATGCAAGACTCCTGTTTGACTGTCTGGTATCCCAGTGGGAGCTGAGGTGAGCAGGGCTGTCCAGGAAAACTGTTTCTACCTTTACAGCTACCATAAAGGCAAAAGCTCAAAGAGTTCTAACTCAACTGTTTCACTATTTCTTTTCATCTTCACACAGTAGTACAAGCTCATGCATGAAACAAGGTCTCAATACATATATAGTGAACAGATTTTTGAATTAATAAAAAAACAAGTTTTTAGATTTTTGTGTTTTAGCCTATTTTCTAGAAATATTTTTATGTTACTTGATTGATAATGTGCTTATTCCACATATTCTAATATCATGAGAGC